CTGACTTTCTGAATTTCTGAATTTCTGAATTTTGAATTTCTGAATTTCCGAATTTCTGAATTTCTGAATTTCCGAATTTCTGAATTTCTGAATTTCTGAATTTCTGAATTTCTGAATTTCTGAATTTCTAAATTTCTGAATTTCTGAATTTCTGAATTTCTGAATTTCTGAATTTCAATAAAAAATCGTTTCAGAAAATCTGAAATCCAAAAATCTGGATTTTCAAAAAACGAGAAAATTGTAAAACTCAAAAAAATCTGGAATTTAAAAAATTTATTCGAATTCCTGATCCATTAAATGAACGATTTTTTTTATTATCAATCAAAATTCTCGATACAGTTATTCAATTTTTCAGCATGGACGCTCTGAAACTCGTGCTCCACGACTTATGGCTCGCTGGTCAAGGCACAACTGCCACTTCTCTCTACGTCGGGTTCTTGAAACTTGTGACCCATCCATCCGTGATTTTGAAAATTCAAAAAGAGCTTCTAAAAATCACCCAAGGCTCCAGGGACCTCACTCTCCAGGACAGACCCAACACACCATACTTAAATGCCACAATTGCAGAAATTCAAAGATTCACTTCGGTGTTAAATGTGAATTTTTGGAGAATAAATGATGAATTAATCAGCTTTCGAGGATTCCAAGTTCCGGCTGGAACAATGATGACTGCTCAAATTGGAGCTCTTCATGTGAATGAGCAACTTTTCGAAAATCCAGATGAATTCGATCCGGAGAGATTTTTAAGGAACGAAAAGCTTCTTCAACAATTGATACCATTTGGAATCGGAAAACGATCGTGTGTAGGAGAACAGTTGGCACGATCGGAGCTGTACTTGGTAAATAAACTCTAATTAAGCTTAATTATCTCAATTACCGTGAAATTTATCATGATATTGTCAACTGATAAAATGTTGATGGCATCATACTTGCAAAATTCCGGGCCGGGCCTGAGGAAATTTTCAAGGCCCGGGAGCAAAAATTTTGTACTTTTGAGCCAAATTTTGAGCTCTCTATACAATTTTCTCCATTTTTTTGTTTTTTGGATTGCTTGTCTGTTTGATAAAAAAATATCAAAAAAACTCGGAAAAAATTTTTGATCGAAAAAAATCACATAAGGGTCCCCCCTTATGTGTTTTCTGAAATTTTCAAAACTTTTGGAATGACAGACCCGCCGGGCCGGGCCGGGCCTCCGAAATTCGGGAAAAAGCCCACATTATGATAAACAATTTATCAGTTGACAGGTTTTTGATATATGTTACCGGGATTGAGATAATTTAGGAATCCAATAGACGGAGACAGCTAGATACCACTGACTCCGTCTCTCAAACACTTCATATGACCTATCTTGGCTCCAAGAACAGCTAGAAATCAGGTTTTTTTTTGGGTTTCGGTGGATTTTACCCAACTAATGATAATAATGATAACTTTTAGGTCCTGGGAAACTTGCTACTTCGCTACGACATCCGTGCTCATGGTGCACTTCCAACCAACATGGATGTGTTCCCGTATAGTTCTGCAAAACTTCCCGACACTTCTGGAAAATTTGAATTCAGAAAGATTCAAAAAACGTAGATTTTTTATCGATTAAACCTTGAATACATAAATGTTATGTTTCTATTCTTTTTTGATAAAAAAAGACATTGAGAGTTCGAAAGAAAAAGTAAAACTTTTCCATTTAATTCAATTATTCATGTGCTACAGTTCAGACACCCTGATAAATTCTGAGCCAACCTATGTATACTTGCTTTTTGAGTTCAATTATTTCGGTTCCTTCGATAGATTTCAAAACTTTAAGAGCTGATAAAATATTTGTCATCAATAGGCAAACATTTTATCAGTTGAGCAGTTTTTTATATGTCTCATAGAAATTGAAATATTTAAGCTATTGAAGTTTTCTGCATTCATAAAGTAATAAAAAATATATATTAGTTGGGATTGTCTACTTTTCAAAATTCCCAACTTTCAAACCCTCCTGGAAAACCCAACCTTTCTAAATATGCTTTAATTTTGAAATTTCGACTTGCAAATTGAAAATCATGGAACACTTTTTTCGCCTGAATTTTCTGGAAAAATCCAAATGTCAAATCATAATTTTCAGCTGATTTTCAGACGTAGTTTTTGGTTTTTGGTTCGCACAAAAACAACAAACTTCAGCTGTTTCAAAAATCGAAGACTTTTCTCCAAGACAATAAATGGATTCCAACTCCACAAACTCTTCCGATTTATTTTATGATTCAACAAAGCTTTATGAACCATTAATGTTTTTTTACATTTTCTTTCTATTCTTAGTTTTCCCATTCTACGTTCATGTGTCCCGTTCGAACCGTGAACGAGATAAAGCCTCTTCCGTTTATCAGGTTATCAGTTATTTTTATAAAAGTATCATTCTTCAATATATCTCTTTAACATTTATTGTTATCACCTTATTTCCAATAGAATATTTTCTCAAACGCCATCCAAAGATTGTGATTTTTCCTGGAATAATATCGACAATCGCTGTGCTGATAGGTTTATTATCAGCACAAGTCAATTATCTCCTCATTTCGTTGTTAGCAATTCAACGTTTTTCCATTTATTTTCATCCATGGACTGAGAAATATCTGCAACTTTCAAAATGGAAATTTTGGTTTTTAATTATGTTTGAATATATTTTAGCTTTTATTGGACTCGGCATACATCGTAAAATGATTGGCTTAGTAAGTGATAATTAAACTCTAATTAAGTCATAAAAAATTTTTCAGTATTTGTATATCTGGCAAAATCTAATGCTTCTATCCTCGTGTATTTTGTACATCCCAATTGGTTTGAGTATTCGGAAGTTTAGTCATTTAGCTTCGTTTCAAGGCAATCAACCTCAGCGTTACATTCTTTGGCAGTTGGTTACTGTCGTTTCGGTAAAATTCGTACGTTTTTTTCCTCTGGTGGTGGGGGGACAGGAGATTTTTCGGAGGATTTTTATAGCCAGCGTATACATTCTTTCGTAACGGTGTCCAACGCTTAATGTGACTCTGCGTACAGCTGTCGTTCGCACCAATACTTCAATACTTGCCCCGACAAGTTCAACTCCTCGAGGGGCATATTTAATTTTTTTCAGATATACACATTTTCATATTTTATCATCCATCTTTCATCAACCGAAATTGAAATGGATTTTTATGGAACGTTTTTTCATGCACTGATAAGTATGAAAGCCACAGATGCATTGGCATTTCCTCTAGTCATTCAAATCTCGTATCTTGGTTGTAACCGTCAGAATTTGAAGACATTTTTGAAATCATTGAAACTCAAAAAATTATCATGGAAGTTGTTCGGCAATGGTCAAGTAGAGGATAGGAATCAGTCGATTTACATTTCAAGGTCGTCTGCGTTGGCGCTTCCTTAAATTTTCAAATGAAGAGTTTGAAGCGCTGAAGATGCGGCAAACAGGCTAGTAACTTCAAATATGTTAAATTTAAATATATTTCTAATATTTCGGAATTTTACAAATTTTGGAATTTTCCGATTCTTTTCGAATTTCGGAACTCTTTAATTTTTGAATTTTCGAATTTTTTTTGTTTATTCAATTTTTTACATTTCGTAACTATACGTTTTTTGAACTGCTCATTTTTTGAATTTTCGTTTTTTTTACGTGAGAATTTTTTTACGTGAGAAGCTTTTCAAAATCTGAATAAAAATTAGCTAATTTGAAAAAAAACAATAAAAACAAAACTTTATTGAAACTAGATATCCCAATCAGAATCAATTTTATCAATTAACAGTAAGCTCAACACCAGATGATATTCCTGGATCAACATGAACACCTGGTGGTAGATTGAACTTCACTGGAGCACGTTCGGATACGTAATCATAAAATCCAGCGTCTTCTTTTGTCAATTTCTTGATTTTCGTTGCTCAAGTTTTCATTAAATAACAAAAACTATAATAAGCTCACGACCATACTTGTAATCCGGGCCCTTCCCGGGCCTTCGCGGGCCCTGCCATAGTTTCTTTCAGAACCAAAACTTTTAGACCAACTGAATCGTATATGATTGAGCTCGACAAGTACTACAAAATGATATTTTTTCCTTTTTTCGCTCTTTTTCGCCTGTAACTTACGCCTGTAACTCGTATTAACCCTTTCAAAAACTCACTCCAAAAGTGAGAAATTAGCACTGAAATCACTTAAACCGCCCATAACTCGACTTTTAGAAATTTGCGCAAAAAACCAAGTACACCACGAGAAAGCCCGTATTCGAAACTATAAATAAGCAAATTTAGAAAATATTCTGAGATGACGGCTAAACATGGTTCCCTTGTTAGAGGAAATACGGTAAATGGGTACAATATTCAAATTTAACAATAAAATAGATGAACGGTAATCACATGATAATCATAAACTAATTGATTGCTAATTGATTAATTTGCACAATTCATAAAAATGGAGTGTCCTCTTTGGCAACTCGTGCGAAAATTATCAATTTAGGTTTCAGCTTCCCTTTTTAAGGCTTCCATTCGGCAAATTCAGCCGACCGACCGACCACCGACCCAGCCGACCGACAGCCGACCGAGCTGACCGATCGGTCGGCGCGCCAACCGTTCGGAAGCATTTGCGCGTCAGGGTGTATGCGTACGCTGCATTACATTTTACGACGCACGATTTTTTCAATATTGGTTCTTTTGATGATTTTCTCCGTTTTTTTTCTTTTTTTTTCCTTTTTTTAGAATAAAAATTAGAAGTTTTTGTTAACAAAATCATGCAGGTATTAAATATTCTACGAAGATCGATCCGAAGAAGAATACTGCGATTCAGTCGTTGTCTCCGTAACCTGTGTCATATCCTGATCCAATGATTCTTCCTTCATCTCGAAAATCTTTTATTTTTTAGTATTATAGCTTTTTACTGCAGTGAATATAATTAAATTCCTAATAAAACAGTTCTTTGAAAATTGAAAAAATCGTGCGTCGTAAAATGTAATGCAGCGTACGCATACACCCTGACGCGCAAATGCACTCGAACGGTTGGCGCGCCGACCGATCGGTCAGCTCGGTCGGCTGTCGGTTGGCTGGGTCGGTGGTCGGTCGGCGGTCGGCAATTTTCGACCGACCGAAATGGAAGCCTTATCCCTTTTTTGTCTTGTACATTACGCATATCCAGAACGATGTGAATATAGTAGTCTGTATTCATTTGAAAATACCAAACTTTTTTCACATCTGAAATGGTACGGTAGGGTTCTCCAATCAACTCATGTAAAGATCCATCGATTGTTGATCCCCGAAAAGATATTTTGAATTTTTGAAATGTGCGAGATTTGAGGAGATTCTGTAAAAGAGATTTACGAAAATAAAGTCCTGCTAGAATGTTTGAAAAAGTCCGAAAAAAATTTGGCATCCTAACTTCATACTTTCAATGGACCCTCATTTTTGCTTTGAAGCTTCGCATTATTTCGAAATATCCTCCATTTTTCGATGGAGCTTACATTTTTCGGTTCTTTATGTTTTAAAGGTGGGGGGACAGGAGATTTTTCGTAGTTTTTTTTGTAGCTAGAGTATGCATTCTACCGTGACGGTGTACAACGCTTAATGTCACTCTGCGTACAGCTGTCGTCCTCGCCTTTATGTATGCAATCGGGCGTGCGCTTTCTCTTTGCACGCGTGTCGGTAGCGGCGCCGCACCATCAATCATCGCCCTCACAAGTTCAACTCCTCGAGGGGCATCTTTGAACGGAATTTCGAGAAAATTATTTTTTTTCATGTCCCCCCACCTTTAACGGGCGTTTTGAGAATAGACGGGGATTTGAGAATTGACGGGTGTTTTCAAAAGGCGTCAGGACCATGTTTGGGGAAGTCTCCAAAATGTTCCAAAGTGCTACAGTTTCTTGTTTTTTGCTTATTTCAATTGATTTATTCGTTTCTGAAATCATTTTTCAGCGAGAAAAACATCATTCTTTAGATGTTAGATGCACCATGTGTTGAGCATAAAAGCTTTTCTGCAACATCGCTCATTCCGCTTTCTGGCATTTGTGTAGCCTGAAAAAATCACCTGTTCGAGTACTTCCACAGCACGAACAAGGATCACTTTTCACTTTCAAATCATTATACAATGAATCGAACTGTCAGTGTTTTCCAAAACTTGGTTTATAAACCTTTGGCGATTTTTTGTATAATCAATGTGCTTTTAAAGGTGGGGGGATATAAAAAAACAAATTTCTCGAAATTCCGTTTTTATACGGCCCTCGTGGAGTTGAACTTGTGGGGGCGAGGATTGAGGGTGCGGCGCCGCTACCGACTGAGCTACGCGGGCAAAGAGAAAGCGCACGCCCGATTGCATTCATAAAGGCGCGGAAAACAGCTGTACGCAGAGTGACATTAAGCGTTGTACACTGTCACGGTAGAATACATACTCTGGCCCCGAAGATCCCCCGTAAAATCTCCTGTCCCCCCACCTTTAAAGGTGGACGGACATGAAAAAAAATAATGTTCTCGAAATTCCTTTCAAATATGCCCCTCGAGGAGTTGAACTTGTGGGGGTGAGGATTGAGGGTGCGGCGCCGCTACCGACTGAGCCACGCGGGCAAAGAGAAAGCGCACGCCCGATTGCATACATAAAGGCGAGGACGACAGCTGTACGCAGAGTGACATTAAGCGTTGTACACTGTCACGGTAGAATACATACTCTAGCTACAAAAAAACTACGAAAAATCTCCTGTCCCCCCGCCTTTAAGTACATTTACATGGGTGTTATGTTCGATTTTATACTATCCAGTTTTCCCTATTTTTGTATATGTATTTCGGAAAAACCGAAAGAAGGAGAAGGATTTGAAAGTGTTTCCAATTATACAACATTTTTATAGAACAACTATATTCGAATTTTTGTATTGGTCTATATCGCTCATAGGTGATTTATACATACGCTTTCACCCAGAATGGAAACTTGAAAACCCAAACCTTCATGTTAATTTTGGCACAATCATACTCTTTTCTCATTGTGTTCTTTGACATTCTCCACTTGATTATTATTTTATTGGCTGTTCAAAGATTTATACTTTAATTTGAGGTTTGGGAGAAGTTGGATTTGTCACCTAAAGCTATTAATCTCATATTGTTTGTGTTGTACTTTGTTGGGTATTTGGAAATGACAATTTTCAAAATATCGATTGTAGTCTTGAATAATGAAACCATGATGTTGATATATCAACAAATGTTGAGAGTGAGTGGATATTGTGACAGGACAATAAAATCGCAAGTCATATTCTTCTATTAGGTTGATTAATTATTCTGGACACAGATACATGGTTTACCGATTGCCCCTTCTACCCCTCTTTTGTGTACCCCGATTGCCATCTGGTCATTGTAACACTCCTATCTATTCATTCTATTCTCTCGCATCGGTCGCGAGCGGTGGCCTCCGGGCAGCCGTCTCGTAATACCGACCTTTAATTTAATTTATTGACCAGGTGTAATGAAACAATAGAGGGCAGGACATGAAAGACTCAGAAAAAATGCCCCTCACGAGGCCGATCTGAGTAGGGGAGGGGAAACCGGATAATTTAGATATTTGACGCAGGAAAGATGTAACCGGTAGAAAAAAAAATAAAAAATAGGGAGCAAATATATCAATAACGGGTAATACTGGAAGAAATTAAGGATTCAAACTCGGAAGGTAGGAGAAATCGGGTAACTTGGGAAGTGATGGCGTTCCACAGGGGAACAATTGAAGAAAAATAGTCAGAGGAGTAGGGCTGAACAATAATTAAGTTCATAGGGCGACGAGGGGAGGAGGAGTATTTGACATGTGCATTTAGGTTAGGTAAGTAGGCGGAGCCATTTAAAAATTTATAGAGAAGAATTAGTTGAGCTTTTAGCCTACGATGTCGAATGGAGAACATATTGAGGATAGAGAGACGATCAGAATAGGAACTGTACTGGATATTACAACGCTGGAAAATACACTTAGAGAAAAATCTTAAGGGAGATTCTAGTTTTAGAGCAAGGCGAGAAGAAGGCGGAGGGGAATAAACTACAGAACAGTATTCAAGAATCGGGAGAACATACATTTGAAAAGATGAATGTAGAATTCTGGAGACTTAGATCTAAATGACTTTAAGAGTTGTTTGGAACGGAGAAGAGCTAGAGATGTGATTTTGTTGATGTGAGCAGAGAATTTGAGAGAGGAATCAGTAATGAGTCCCAAGTCCCGGACGGAGGAGGAGGGAGTATGTGTGACACCCGCAATATTGAGAGGATGGGAAGAATTATGGGAACCTAGGCGAAGAAGGGCAGTTTTAGAGTGGGCAAGAGGGAGATGGTTGGCGGTAGCCCAATTTACAACCATGTTGATACCAGTTTGAAGGACGATTGGGTCATGAGAATACAATTTGATATCATCAGCAAAGGCGGCAAGGTGAAGAGAGGGGATTTGTTCAAGTTCTAAGAGCAGATCATTGATGAATATGAGAAATAGTAAGAAACCGGAGACTGATCCTTGAGGAACACCAGAGGGAATGACAGAGGAAGGAGGTCCAATAAAATCATAGATTTTGACAGAGAACGTTCGACCAGAGAGAAACGAGGAGAACCAAGCTACGTAGGATTTAAGGATTCCAAAGCTAGCAAGTTTCTGGATGAGAAGTTGATGATGTACCTGGTCGAAGGCTTTGCGGAAATCGAAAGAGACGACGTCTAGTGGACCTTCCATATAATAAATATATCCGGATATATTCTAAAGAGTTCTGAGAAACACTGAAATTAGACAACAGTGGAAGGTGAACCACTGTTCGTTTACAAAATTTTCCCATCCAAAGAATATGTAATCAAATTCAGTATGAAAGTATTATAATTCACATATTGATGTTTGCATCTGCCAGTTTGTACATTCCGATTTCAGTGAGCATAAAAAGAAAAGCTCAATTGGTATCTATCATAAAAAATAAGCCAGATAGATTCATTTTGTATCAAACTATCGGATTAGCTGCGTTCAAAGTGGTGAGCACAATGGAATTCAGAAAAACATTTCAAAATGCTTTTTTTTCAGTCAAGTCTACGCCTGCACATTAATACACAACTTGAAGCTGACAGACCAAGAGTAAGTTCTTCTAAATATCCAATGGAATCTTCGAGATTTTCAGGACAACACGTTTTACTACGCGAATTACCATGATTTCTATACGACACCTGTAATGATAGAAATGTCGTATTTATTCAGTAACAAACGAAACTTCGACACCATCAAAAATATTTTCAAGAGAAACAATCGAACGATGCCTTCTAGCGCAATTGGTGCAGCACAAGCTTCGTCAGTGGACACTTGAAGGGTGACTCCGACTAAATATTATTAATTGTTTCAAAATCCCTGATTTGCTTTTATTTGAACTATAAATGGTTTCAACTGCTGGTTTTCAACTTCAAGTTTATTTTCCACTGTACAGAAACAATTCAAACTTTTTTTTATGTATTGACATCATATGCATTAAAACTCTAAAAATAAATTTTTTTGAATGCTTCATTAGTGGTTTTAAAAAAAAATTTAAATTTTTAAGGAAAATTTTACAAATAATCATTCTTACGACTAATGAATGAATGAATTGTTATTCTGTCCGCACATTTTTGAAAATCTTGAAAATTGAATATAAATTGACGTGACCTTCTCGAGGAGCGAAGCGACGAACGAGCAACAGAAATAGGTTAATTCGCGCCGAAGACGCACCAGCCAGCTGTTTGAAGCGCTGGCGGCGCGGCAAACACACTGGTCTTCTTTCTTCTGGGTATCAAACGATGGGAGACCGCACAACCAGTTGTGCTACACGATTAACGCCGCCGGCAAATAAGCCACGCGACCGAGTAGACAAAGATTGTGATTCACCACGTGAGATAGAAGGTACCGTAAGATTTTTTCTCTTGAAAATATTCTTGATGGTATCCAGATTCCGTTTGTTGCTGAATAAATACGACATTTGTATCATCACAGGTGTCGTAACAAAATCAAAATGATTGCCATAGAAATCAGTAGTTTTCTGAAAAATTTTAAGGATTTCTTGAGATTTCAGGATAACTTACTAGTGAATTTTCAAGTTCAAATTGATCAAAAATGTGAAGGCGTAGACTTGTCTGAATGAATTCAGTGTTAAAATTCTTTGTGCCGGGATCCATTGCACTCACCACTTTGAACGCACACAAACCGATAGTTTGATACAAAATGAATCTATTGGGCTTATTTTTTATAATAGATACCAAATGAGCTTTTCTTCTAATGCTCACTGAAATCGGGATATACAAAATGGCAGATGCAAACATCAATACGTGAATTACAATGCTTTCATACTGAATTTGCTATTATATGCTTCTGATTTAAAGAAATCCACTCACTATTAACATTTTTTGATATATCAAGTTCATGGTTTCATCTTTGAAGACTTCAATCCATACTTCAAAAAATGCCAGTTTCAAATACCCAACAAAATACAACATAAACAATATTATATTAATAGCTTTGGGGGATACATTCACATTAACTAGTAGCTCAAAATAAAGTATGAACCTTTGAACAGCCAATAGAATGATTATCAGGTGGTGAATTTCGAAAAACATTAGTTGAAAATCATACCATTTCGAAATAATCAATGCAAAAGTTGGGTTTTCAATGGTGTATTCTGGGTGTAAGTATTGGTAAATTAGAGCTGTTAAATATACAGACAAAAAGAAAAATTCGAATGTGGTTGTTCTATAAAAATGTTGTAAAATCGGGAAAACATTCGAATCCTTTTCTTGGTCTCGATTTTTCCAAAATACATACACAAAAATTGGGAACACTGGATAGTATAAAACAAGACATGACAACAGTGTGAAGTTACTATTAATTGTAGTCAGTATGAAAACAATGGAAACATTTGAGTGTTGGGAAACGTCGTCAGTTTGATTCATTGAACAATGAAGTGATATATGATACTTGGGTGTGTCGTTGAAATATTCCAGAAAATGTACTGGGCGAGTAATAAAACAGAAGAACAGAATATCACCTGCTCACCACGCGGCTTCAGAAATGTCTAAAGTTAGAGGTTCATGATCATTTTTTCAGCCGATGAATGATCAACTGTAGAAAAGCGCCGTAGGCGCGCCAGGCAGATGTTTAAAGGTGGGGGGACATGAAAAAAAATAATGTTCTCGAAATTTCGTTCAAAGATGCCCCTCGAGGAGTTGAACTTGTGAGGGCGATGATTGATGGTGCGGCGCCGCTACCGACTGAGCTACGCGGGCAAAGAGAAAGCACACGCCCGTTTGCATACATAAAGGCGATGACGACAGCTGTACGCAGAGTGACAGTAAGCGTTGTACACCGTCACGGTAGAATGCATACTCTAGCTACAAAAAAACTACGAAAAATCTCCTGTCCCCCACCTTTAAACCACTATAAGAAAATGGCTACTTGTTGAAAGATTTTTTGTTTTGAAAATAAGATAATGAGTTGAGTGATAAAATACAGTAAATTTTCAGGTTTAAGTCATCGGTCAGATTCGCCGTGGCATAGCTAGCAGCGGCTAGAAGTTTCCCATTTCCCAAAAATTAAACTCTCGATTCCTCAATTTTTCAAGACTTCTCAATTTTCGAAATCAATTTTTTTTTCTTAGTGAATCAGGAACTTCGTCTACTCGTTCGCAGCCGCGTGGCTTACTTGCCGGCGGCGTTAACCGTGTAGCTCATCTAGCAATACCGTCTCCCATCGTTTGATATTGTTTTCTCCCCTTACATAACATTCGTAGACGTCAATTTTATTATTCTTTCAATGTAAGTAACATTTTAAAAAAATCCTCAATTTTTATTTCAATTCGAAGTTATTGGAACGACCTCCCTTTTAATTTTTTCCCCTCATATTCAACGCAAATACGTTTAATTCTAATCTTTCGTTTTGTAATTTCGAAAAACATCTATTTCTGAAACTATCCGTGTACTAACATTTATATTTGTACTTTGAAGAGTCAGATGCTCCAGTCCTTTAAAGGTGGGGGGACAGGAGATTTTTCGTAGGATTTTTGTAGCTAGGGTATGCATTCTACCGTGACGGTGTACAACGCTTAATGTCACACTGCTTACAGCTGTCGTCCTCGCCTTTATGTATGCAATCGGGCGGCCGTATTCTCTTTCCCCGCGTGGCTCAGTCGGTAGCGGCGCCGCACCCTCAATCCTCACCCCCACAAGTTCAACTCCTCGAGGGGCGTATTTGAAAGGAATTTCGAGAACATTATTTTTTTTCATTTCTCCCCACCAGTAAGTTCTTGGGAAAACCCAACGCAATCTTCGAGGCTTTCAGGACAGTTACATATTCTACGACAATCATTTTGATTTTGTTACGACACCAGTGATGATAAAAATGTCGTATTTATTTAGCAACAAAAGGAATCTGGATACCATGAAGAATATTTTCAAACGAAAAAATCGTACGGTACCTTCTATCTCAACTGGTGAACAAGAAACTTCGTCTACTTGGCCGGAGCCGCGTGGCTTATTGGTCGACGGCGTTAACCGTGTAGCTCAACTGGCAACACGGTCTCCTATTGTTTAATACTGTTTTCAAAATGAAAATTTTTTTCGAGACGATTTTTTTCCGATAATGGATTGTGCAAAAAAAGATTTCAAAGAATCGCTGAAAATAGACAAAAATATCTGAGAAATTTTTCTTACTCTCCCTGGGACAGAGAAAAAAGAATAATCAAAAAATTCAGGGGGAACAAAGTGATTTTTCAAAAATTTCAAAGTAGTTCTGTTTACGAATAGAGAATTTTAAACTATGAAGCAAAGAAGTATACTTAAGTAGCTAGGAATATGACAAAGAAATTGAGAGATGAGATGCGAAGTATTTAAAGAAAACTCAAAAACCGATACTTTGCAGTGAGTAAGTGGATGATTACAGACAGAAAAACCCGATGAATAGACATAAATCACAAAAATAAACATATGAATTAAATCGGAAAATGTGAAAAACATTTCATAATGACAGATGGTCCGTGTCAATATGATAAGTCGAAATCACGGTCTGATTTGTTTTTTGATACATCGACACAAGCCCCAAAATGATAAACGTTACTATCGCTGAAAAAATGAATTATATGTATAAGTGACAAATTATTTGCGATATGAAACTCACAATGGATGAGCGTAAATTATCTCTTTTCTTCCAGGAACTTTGAGTGTCAGCAAATTCATTGAAACTCTGACAACTTCCGCTGCATGCAACTGGCTATATCCATCTGGCGTAGGAAGAAGAATCTGTTATAGGAGGTTGTCAGAAAGCACGTATAAGGCAACCCTTACTTCTACAAATTTCAACGTTTTCAATCGTTTTTTAATGGCCTTTATCCTTCCGGCATCCAAACTATTGATGTGTTGACGATACTCGTCTTGTGGTCCGACACCCTCACTGACAAGAGCCTGAAATAATTATTTAGAAAAATCCATAGTTGCAAGCGGGCCGGCTGATAACTTGTCCCTAGAACGAGACGTTCGGACAGTTTTGGTACCAAATGATAGATCTCAACAGGGCCCATCGCGCTTATATTATTTGGGCCGGATCCCAATCCGTTAACATGTCGAAAAATGTGTTTGAATGACAATTTTTGACCAATTTGACAAAAGCAGATTTTTTGCCATTCAAACACATTTTTGAGCATGTTGTCAGACCGGAATCCGCTTAAATGATATAGACGTAATGGGACATGTCGAGATCTATCATTTGGTACCAAAACCGTCTGAATATCTCGTTTTAGAGACAAGTTATCAGCCGGCCCGCCACTTGCTCGGGCCGCCCCGCTTGCAACTATGAATGCCTCTTTTGAGAAATTGCAGATAAAAGTTCGACAAAAATTTCTCGAAAAAAATGTTCGAAAAAAATTCCTCGAACTTTGGCAATTTTGGTTTTCCAGGCCACCATTTCAAAATGACCTAGAAAACACACCAGGTGCACTCCAGTCCATTTTTAGGCAATTTTAACGTGGTGGCCTGGAAAACTTAACTTGCGAAAGTTAGGCCACCACTTCAAGATGAATTCGTCTCGAAAAAATTTTCTAAAATTTCTCGAGAAATTTCTAGAAGTCGTGTCGAAAGGATCTGCTGCTCATGAGCGTTACTGTATGAGAGAGAGACACTTATCGCACAATTATTATAATCTCGAATAGAACACACCTTGTAATATCGTGTGAAGTAGTTGATATAAATATCAATTTCATCTTCGTACTTGTTCGTATCGTTTGGATAAATTTCAAACTCATCTGGAAGATGACATCTGACAGGTTCCTTTCTTATGAGGCTCCATGCAAAAAGTTGTTCATGGTAAATGTGAAAGAAAGCTGGCTTCTGAAAAATTGTGCTGCTTCTAATTTTCGGAGTCAATCAGAAACTCACATTTGTGTTCGGATGCAAGACAAACTCTTTGCCAATGCAAAGATGGAAATAAAAAGGGCATTCATCTTCGGTTGGGACCACATGAGCAAAGTAAAAACGATTTCTGTCATGATTGAGATAGACTAACACAGCGCCACGCTGTAAATTGTTTTTTTTTTTGAAAATTAAGAAGTATGATATATCATATAAATTACCTGGAGTCGATGTTTCATCACATCATTATTCAAAAAAACCAGATGAGTCACTGGCTCTAACAAATTAGAAATGTCTTCTTCCAGTCCTGCAATAAGGTCAACGTTTGGCCTCAATAGTTTCTCGTCTTTTTGTTTTTCGGTCCATCCTTTATGATGACAACATGTGTTGAGCATATGAATCATTCTAGTGTACTGAAACAAGAACAATCTTCTCCTTCAATGCCAATTCATCAAAACTAACCTTTCCTCCAAACCGAACGCACAGGAGTCCATGATGATTACGCATAACTGTTGCAAGGACAACGACGTGTGGATCCTCTTCCAATTGCATCTCGAAAACCTGTCCTATGTCGATGAGATCAAAACATCCTTTTTCCATGTTTGGAGCAGATAACTCCCAGTCTTTCACGTTATATAAATTCCATCTATGGTCAATTACCGAGTCTTTGAATTCTTCGTACATTGCGCTGAAAGTTTAAGATTAGTTCAATTTTCAACCAACAGCACGATACAATCCCTATAATAATATTGCTAAAAATCTTTTTTACTGGCTTCATGATCAGATGCAAAAGTTAGATTTTCTAGTATACAATTGCAATTGTTCAATGCAGTTCTCAAAAATGTCCAATAAAATGTCCAATATGAAATTTTGAAATTTCGGAAATGTTGAATTTTTCTGAATTTCTGAAATAAGTTTTTTTTTGCAGAATTCAAAAAAGTCAAAATTTCAGATTTCCAAAAATTCCAGCATTTCAAATGTTCCCCATATTTTTGAACAATTTTCGAAGAATACTAAAAAAAAATTTTTTAGATATCAAAAAGTTCCCCCAAATTTCCATTTCCTGAAATTCTAACTTTATCTTCTCGAATTGCTAAATTTCGATTTTTGCCGCAGTCGCCCCAGCCAGACATTTGAAGCGCCGGAGGCGCGGCAAACAGGCTAATTAGCATCTAATTGAGTTATTTTTCGTCTTATGTACGCACGCAGGTGCGTCCGTGACGGTCCGTCTCGTATTGCGCAACTGTCAAGAAGTCAAATGATGTCTCACAACGATTAGGCTTGAACGAGACTAACCTTTAAACATATTTGAAAAAATTTCAAATATGGAGAGCCCGGGCCGGGCCCTTGAAATCTTCGGCCCGGCCAGGCCCGCGGGCCGTGCCCTGATTTTGCAAGTATGCAAAAAAAGACTTTCGATCTATATGATTTAGAAACGGAAATCAAAAATATTTCTGGATGTGATACTCACTGGATATTTGTCTTGATCAGACTATAATCGGCAATAATATCTTCTACGTAAATTTCTTCTACTTCCTTGCTTGATCCTTTGCATAGACAACAAACAGACACCAAACCACCATCTCGCTTATTGAAGTCCTGCAAAATATGTTTTCTCGGCGTAAAAAACATTGACAAAACTCACAAGCACACGTACGGCATGAATACCTAATTTACATTTGTTCGTCTCTGTGAATACGATCTGATTCAGATGGAGTAGAGTCCATTTCAGAGAAGCGGCAGACATCGAGTGAAAAGGGGAGATGAGAACACCTTCTTGTCCTACATCCTTAACAGCAGCCTGAAATTAGTATGCATTGTGTTTTAAACGCACGAAAACTCTCACTTTCACAAAATTGATCCAACTTTTGTTGTGTACAGCGGCAATAAATTGTTCCAGATCATTGCATACCAAGTCAATTTCTTGTTCAATATGATCAATTGCTCTCTGAAAAACGTTTTCATAGTCTTTTGAATATACCGCAAAACCTGTATTAGAAGGGACGGCCCTCCTATTGTTCCAAGGTATCTCCGGAGGGCCCTTCTATTACAGGGGCCCTTCTATTTTTCCGGCCAGTTATATACGAAATTTGGCATCGAAAAATTCGACGAAGTTTCGTTCAAAATTCATGAAAATCTGCCCATTTCACCAAAATTTAGCGAGATTTTCATCGAAAAATAGAGTTTCAACAAATTTCTATTAAATTGTGGAGTTCCTGGGAATATTTTCCACTGAAAAAGTACGAAAATTTTCTGTTTTCAAAACACCTATTACGGGGGCCCTTCTATTACAGGGGACCCTTCCATTTTTCCAAGCCCCTCTCGGAGGGCCCTTCTAATACAGGTTTTACGGTAACATATTTTTTTTCTAAACATTTGCAGCAGTTTAAAATCAAAAAGAGACTAATTTCTGTGATAAAACGTCTTGTCAGAGAAAGCTGAGCGTCGATCAGAAATTTCAAAAAAGCCGATCTCATAAACAATTACAACCAGTCGATTTCGCCACCTATCGACAAATTAATTCAAAAAAAAAACAATAATATTTGAAACCCTGAAGTTTGAAAATTTTAGGAGTTTATTGAGTTTTTCGATTCTCTAATTTCCAAATTTCTTCATTTTAAATTGTTTTCTAATCAAATTAATTCTGCATTTCCGGAATAGGAAAAATGAGATTTTTGGGCTTCTATTAGAGGCGGGCTTCAATTAGAGAGTGGATGTCTATTTTTCAATATTTTCAAAAACATTTTAATCTAAAATTCAGAAATTTGACAATTCGGAAGTTAAGAATTCTGAAATTCAGTGTTTTGGAAATTTCGAAATGTTCATTTTGCAGTTCAAAATTCCGAATTTATGAAATTCTGAGATTCCAGGATCTGAAAATTAAAAGTTCAGAAATTCCGAAAATAATTCTAAAAATCTAAAAATCTGAAATTCCGAAATTTAGAAATTAGATAATACAGAAAATAATCAAAAATTTCAAACTCAAGAATTGAAATTTTGGCATTTCTGAGCTTCACCGTTCGGTTTGTGAGATCGGCCTTTTTGAAATTTCTGATTGACACTCAGCCTTCTTTGGCAAAGACGTTTTCTCACAGAAATTAATCTCTTTTTGGTTTTAAAGGACTGCAAACGTTTTGATTTACAATTATAAATCATAACTTACTTTCTTATTAATTTGACGATTGCTGCGGGAAGGAGATTCCATGGAGAAAAGGCACAATTTTCTGCCGAAGAGAAAACAGATGTTATTGGAAAAATTCGGTCACAACACACGATCCGCTAAACACCGGGCACCCTCAAACAACGGAGTGTCGTTTGGAATTGGGCAGAGGGGGGAAAGGATATAGTGTGTATTTAAGAGAGTGACGAGGACACTGAAGAAAGGAGACAGTGTGCAGACTGAAGTGAGGGGTGACGAGGGCACTGAAGATTTGCAAGAGAATGAAGAAGGGGTGTTCGCAAACAATCGATTGCGAAGAAAATTGGGGTGGGAACAATTTAAATTAGTCTGCAATTTCTAAAGTTTCTGGAAAAGATGAAAAACTGGAATGCAGAAAAACTGAATATAATGATTTCAAATTTCAGAACCGTATCCTAAGTAAAGGGATTTTTGAAAATGGGGTTTGAAAAATCTCTGAAAAAAATTTAAAACAAGCACAAATTTTCAAAGTATTAGTTTTTTTCTGAAATCTCTGATATTTTCAGTCATTATAGAAATACAATACATTTGACGGCTGGAATAAAAATTACATCAAATTATGTTTAATTTAACTGTTTCAGTTGTAGTTCAAGTTCAGTTTTTTTTCAATTATGATTTTTGAGCACTGTTCTAAAATCACGGAACGATTAATTAAGATTTGAAAGAATCTTGCTTTTTTACGAAATCTGTAATATTCATGCTTTGTGTAGCTCGGGCTCAAAAATTCAACTTCTCAAACGGCCAATAATTCGTTCTTTACCAGTAGAAACTCATTTTCTTAATTCCTTAATTCCCCAAAACGTCTCCTTTTTTTTAAATCAATATTTTTTCCTGAAAACTCACTCAGTCCGTTTTCTGACATTTGCGTGGTCTGAAATAATCACCTGTCCAAATTCTTCAACATCATTCTCAAGGCCCAGTATCCAAGGGTACATCGAAAAAGGGTACATCGAGTTCTTAGGGTACATTGGTTCCAAGGGTACATTGGATTGTTCGGTACATGTAGGTGGACAAAAAAAGTAAATCAATATTTTTATACATACTATTTTGATTTCTGCTCAAAATTATAGGCTGGCTAAAACGCCTTACAGTCTAAGATCCCATGTACCCTCAGAACCAATGTACCCTAAGAA